GCCCTTGGCTGCTTTGTCTCCCACCCTGGAGGTTTGTCCCCCCCTTTGTCCCTGCCCCAGCTGCTGCCCAGTGCACCCTCCTGCCAGAAACTTCAGACTTTGGGGTTTTTGTTGTGCGTCTTTTGTTGGGTTTTTTTTGGGGGGGGGTTGATCTCCAAGTCTCTTCATATATTGGCTAAGGAAAAAGACAATCTGAAGACATTATCTAATTATTTCTGATTACTCCTGGGGGAGCTCTGGTGCCAGCATCTTATTCTAGGTCGATGCTTTTTTGCTTTGTTGTTGTCATCTTGTCCCGACCTTTCAGGCCTCAGAGCAGGAAAATAGTTTAGAAAAGAGCAAACCTGCATTCCCCCCCACCAAAGCACAGGAAGAGAGAAACAGAGAATTCCCAGACTCTCATGGAAGTTGTATCAAATAACGGCTGCATTTTTTATGAGCATCTTGTGACAAAGGCTATGACTTTACAAAAATCGTGCAGACATGTACAAATTGTCCTGCTATAGCCAAGAGCTGGAAAAAAGAGGCTGCCATTAGGAAACAGAACCATGTTTTGCTTGAGTGGTCACATATCTTGAATGATCAGGGAAGGGCTGGCTGGTTTTAATCCAATTTTGCCCCAGCTTTCCAGTTTGGTAAGATGTCCATCTCCTCATCTGGCACCTGTAGGACATGGCAGCCCAAAGGGGACTGGGGTATTTTGGGGGGTGATGGTGCTGGGGTGCAGGAGCACAGCTCAGTTTGGGAGGTGAGGTTGCAGACTACAGTTCACATCTGTCATGGCTAAGGTTGTTTCTCCTGCAGCACAGCTCTGACATGTCAGATGGGCTGAAGCCATCTCAAACCGTGCAAAAGCTGCTTCATGCTTTATTTTTTAAAAAGTCATATTTAGTAGAGGGGATTTTTAGAGGATACCAAGTGTTATTGCTTGCACCATCTAGTCACAGTAATGTTTTGTTACTGTTGTTTTTAAAGGATATGAGGTCTGGTGGGGAGCAGGTTCTCCTTGGCTTTCCTAGACTCTTAGAATCATTTAGGTTGGAAAAGACCTGTAAGATTATCAAGTCCAACCCTTCAGGGGTGCTAAACAGGTGCTCCTTGGCTTTCAAGCCTGTCTTCTTTTATTTCTTGGATTTCTGGGATTTTTGGGGGGCTGTTGGGGGTTTTGGGTCAGCTTTTTTCTATGTTCTGGTCATAAAAAGGCAAGGGCAGAAGAGGGAGGAGGAAACAAAAATCCAGCAGTCCTGGCCTATGGTTTATTGAAGTGTTTGGGGCTTTTGCAGCTCACTGGCACATCTTTGCTCATGTGCCTCGATGCTCTTCCTAGACCAAATGCAGTTACTTTTTTCACCATTTGCCTGTGATCCCAGGAGGGGTCAGTTCTGTGGAACATCATGGTTCAAATTCTGATGTATCACCAGAGGTTTTTTGTAAACAGGCACAATTTTGATTGTTTTAGAGACATGGGTTCTTCCTGGCATGCCCAGCTTGTTTCTAGAGCAGATTTGAAGCAGTATTAATAATTGATACCTATTTTAAGTTGGTTTGTTTTGTGCTATCAAGCTGTCCTTGGCTGGTCCCTGTCTCCCTACCCTGTTGAGCTCCTCAGAGGGGTTTCTGAGCAGGTCCAGGGAGGTCCCATCCAACTCCTGCCTTGTCCCTCCAGCTCTAGGGCAGCTCTTGCTGGAAGAAGAGAGCAGGAGATCCTTCTCCAGCCATGCTCTGCCCTTGCTGTGGATGGGCCTTCCTTCAGGTGCCTGAGTGGTGAAGTTTTGTCCCTGTAAAGCACGTTATTTGTCAGTAATTTTCACAGATCCAGAGCAGATCTGCTTTTGCCAGAGCAGACTCTTGTCCTTCTCCGTGTTGGGGTTGGAAGAGGCGTCGGGCTCTTGGGCTTGGCTGTCGTGTTGTCTTCTCTGACCACCCTCATAGGCTGTCACCGTGGTGCCCTCTGGGCGCCGCAGCCTCCTGGTTGACACAGGCAGGGTCTGGCTGACCTGCTGCCAGGGTTTGGATGATCCCTTGAGCGTGGGAGTCCAGGAGGTGCTGGGCTGGGCCGGAGCGTGGCGGCTCTGCCGGGAGGCCGAGCAGTGGGTCCATGGGTGTTGGGTGGCAGGGCTGGGCTGGGCGCTGGGAGCCCCAGCTCTTTGCTGCCCGGGGCTTCAGCTCCGTGCACCAAACGTGGGGTTGGCTGCTGGAAGCAGAGGCAGCCCGAGATGGGCAGGGAGGGGTCACTGGATCATCCCCAGCACAGTTACCCTCCTCTAAGGGTGGCTTTGTCTCTCATCTCTTACATTTTAACTGTGTGTGACCGTCCAGGCAGGGCCACTGCAACAAATCCGAGAGTAACAGCAGAAATAAAAAAGCTCTGGGCGAGAGAGAAGTAAGTGAAGTCAGGCCCCACCCTCCTTCCCAGAAAAAAGCACCAAACATGCTCAATAAATGCGAAGGTAATTTAAAATCTGAATCCAGGAGACAATGTGACTAGGATTTCATTACTTAAGCAAATGGATTTGCTTTTAGTGGATTCAGCCACAGACTGAAAGAAGCTTTCCCCAAGGGGTAAACATTTTTCCTGCATTTGAAAAGCTTTCTTATATGGGGGGAGTGGGTGAGAGGGTATTCCAGGACTGTGGGGGTCCCTGGAACACCTTTATTTTGGGCAGACTTGGGCATTCCCAAAGCTGTTGTTTTGGGCAGGGGGATTTTGGAGAGCTCCTGGGCTGGGAAGCTGCAGGGGAACGATGGGCGGTGCTGGGGCAGGTGGGATGTTGGGAGGCTGCAGGGGTGATGCAGGAGGATGCAGAAGGGCTCTAGGGCAATGCTGGGGGAGCACGGGGGGATGCTGGGGGGATACAGGGAGGTGCAGGGGGTTGCTGGTGTACAGTGGGGAAGCTGGGGGGTGCTGAGGGATGCTCGCCTCGCCTTCCTCTGGCCGCAGGAGTTAACCAGCAGCAGTGCCAGCTCTGCAGACTGTTTGGAATAGTTTAAATGCTTTGACACTCTGGATGTACTAGATGGCAGGGGAGGCAGTTTACAGCGTAATTCATATGCAAAACTGCACTATAAATTTAAAACCTGTCTCAGTTGCCGTGGCACCACTAAGCATTTCATCAGCATACAGTACAGTATTTCTGCCATCTTTGTTTGCATTGCAGTGACTCATCAAAAGTCTGTCTTGTACCAACACTGAGAGCATTCCTCTGGCACTGATATTTCTCTGTTTTTAAAGCTTGGGTTTGAAACTGGCATTTACTTCAGGTCCCTAATCAAAGGGCTCTATTCATTGCAGAGAGCAGCCTGAATGTTAATCTGCATCCGGCCTATTCATTTAGATGCTGTGCGCTGCCGGGGAGATTTGACTTGGTAAAAGCTTGAGCTACAGCAGATACAAACCCAGGCTCTGATACTCTATATTATTTTTCCCCCCTCCCCTGAGCATCGCGGGCCCCGCGGGCAGTGGGGCGGGGGGACACAGAGCCCCTCCAGCCAGCACTGAAGGTACGTGTGCTCCCAGCCGGGCAAGGGGACCGGGAACTTCCTCGCTTGGAAGAATTTTTTTGAACCGTGCAGATACAATTAAATTGGCTCCGAGTGTGTTCCCTTTTCTTCCTGTTACCCCGTGGCCTTGTAGATAGGACTTTTTTTTTTTCTGTTTTTTTTTTTTTTTCTTCCCCAGCACTGGGAACAGGCAGCTCTTTGTGGGTTATTATTTTCTTTTTGGAGGAGATTCTTTTTTTAAAATTTTACATCTTTCTCAGATAAACTTTTTTTTTTTTTTTTAAATGTTGCTCTTATGAGCTTTCACTCTCGAGTTAACCAGACTTTTTCTTCAGTCGTATTGAAGGCAAAAGGGATTTTAAATCTCCTGAACTGTGGGATGGAGCTGGGGAGGGTGTTGGTGTGGGTGAATCCGCAGTGATTTCCTCCGCTGGAGTCCCGGGCTCGGCCGCACCGACACGGGCTTTGTGCCTCGGCCCCTCCAAAGGCTCCGGCCACGTTTGGCCAGTGGAGGGAGGATTTCTCCCCTCAGCCAGAAGGTACAGCCGGCCTTCCCGTGGGATGTACAACCGGCCTTCCCATGGGATGTACAGCCGGCCTTCCCATGGGATGTACAGCCAGCCTTCCCATGGGATGTACAGCCAGCCTTCCCGCGGGATGCACCGCCGGAGCCAGCCACTCCAGCCCCTTCCCTGTGAGGCTGCTCGGAAGGTCTTCAGTGGGGCTGGGACCCCCAGTGGGGCACAATGTGCTGGGGGCTTCAACCACAGGAGGGGCTGGGCTGGGGGTCCCCAACCCCTCTTTACATTTATTTTTCCTATAAGAAGCCCGGGTGGTTGCTGGCTCCCTGCAGCACAGGGGTTTGTTTTATTGGGGCTCAAATATCTGGCTTAATTTGGAGATAAGCCTCATTTTGTTGGAGGATAAATCTGTTGAGAAGGGGTTTAACTGTTGAAATACTCCCTCTTTCTGGTGCAAATGGGAAGATTGCTTTTCAAAGTGCTTTTTCCTGGGAGCTGTCGCTCCAGCAGAATCCGGTATTTATTTCAGGCAGAATGGCACATTGTTTTATAAATATCTTTTCTGTAGTTTCAACATAGCTGCTGGTTGTTGTGTTTCTTATATAATGCTACCCGAGATCTGTCTGCCTGTCTGACGTTTGCTTTACTGTTCACTCCTCTCCCATTTACCCTTCAGATTTTCCTGCATAAAGTAAAAACCCCCAGGGGGAATAAGTCGGTGGTGCTTATTTAAACAGACCACAACTTGAAGAAAATACTTCCATTTATTTTTTTTAATATCCCTTGCCACCCACCGGTAGCATTTCCAGCATTGTTTGGGAACATGGATAAGTGATTTTTATAAGCTGTTGTTTTTCTCTGTCGGCTCTTGGAGCCTCGAGCCTTTGATGTGGGGTGCAGTGGATTCCTCTGCCTGCTTTGGTGAACTGTCTAAAAAACTGCTGTGCCTCTCTCCCTGCCTTCTCTCTTTTTCAGATGTGCCCTACTTTGGATATTCCTGCATTGAATGTCTGAGGAGCTCCAGCCGATCCTGAGCCATGTCGCAGATGTTGCACATAGAGATTCCCAACTTTGGGAACACGGTCCTGGGCTGCCTGAACGAGCAGCGGCTGCTGGGGCTGTACTGTGATGTCTCCATCGTGGTGAAGGGCCAAGCCTTCAAGGCTCACCGGGCAGTCCTGGCCGCCAGCAGCCTCTACTTCCGAGACTTGTTCAGCGGGAACAGCAAAAATGCCTTTGAGCTGCCGGGTACCGTCCCCCCTGCCTGCTTCCAGCAGATCCTCTCCTTCTGCTACACCGGGAAGCTGACCATGGCGGCGAGCGAGCAGCTGGTGGTGATGTACACGGCCGGCTTCCTGCAGATCCAGCACATCGTGGAGAAAGGGACGGACTTGATGTTCAAGGTCAGCTCTCCTCACTGTGACTCTCAGACCACCATGATCGAAGACCCCAGCTCGGAGCCGCAGAGTCCCTGCAACCAGCTGCAGTCGGCCTCAGCGCCCTACGTCATGTCCCCCTCCATGCCCATCCCGCTCCTCACCCGTGTCAAGCATGAGAACCTGGAGCTCCAGGCTGCAGCCCTGCCCGGCCTGCCCGGCAAGCGGCCCCTGGAGCCCGGCGCCCGGGAGGGCACAGGCGCTGCAGGCCCCAACGCTGGGCCCCTGAAGCTCTCCCGTGTCTCCTACTACGGGATGCCCAACCTGGCCACCCTCATCCCCAATGTCCAGCAGGTCCAGTACTCGCAGGGGGAGCGGACGAGCCCCGGCGCCAGCAGCATTCCCACCACCGACAGCCCCACCTCCTACCACAACGAGGAGGATGAGGAGGATGATGAGGCATACGACACCATGGTGGAGGAGCAGTATGGGCAGATGTACATCAAGTCTTCCGGAGGCTACTCTGGTAATGCATGGTCTCTCTCCGTGGGTTTCTGTTCTCCTTCAGTGCTTGCTTCATTTTTCCCAGCCAGCACTGGTAGTTTTGGGCTTGTTCGTCAGTTTTGTTTTTGGGGGGCTTCGTTGGCTCATTTGCACAGCGCGGTGCATGTGATGGGCTCGGTGCTGGTGTGGCATGGACAGGTCTTCCCATGCCAGCAGTCCTGGGCTGTGTCCCCAGCTGAGAAGCTTTTTAGATACCTCCTCCACCACCATCAGTTTAGTCCTTTGCTTTTTGGCTGAGGCTTCCAACAAGCAGCCTGGTGGCTGCATGAGCCATGTGGTGGGGACACCTGTCCCGTGGTGATGGCTGAGCTCACCTGCCCTGCGTCATCCAAGAGGGATGGTCAGTGTGGGAAGAGAAGCATCAGCTCTTGCCAGTCAGTAGTGGTTAGATTGTTGGTCTGAGAGTTGGTCTTCAGCGAGGTGCAAGGCACAGACCCTCTGTCCTGGCTTTTTACAAGAACATTTTTAAAGTGATGGACATAGAGGCCCCTTCCCTCCTGCTTCCCATACAGGAGAGGGCTTCCTGGGGCGTGCATTCCTTGCCCCAGCCACCTTGCAGGGTCAGGCTCTGCTGAGGAGCAGGGGCAGGTGGAGGGTACAGAGCTCAGGACTGGAGGGGGAGATGCCTGGCTGGGTGCCCAGTGTGCCCATATCCCACGTGGGTACTTGCAGCACCCAGGCAAGTGGAGCTCCCAGCACCTGGTGTAGATGCTCACCTCGGTGCCGTGTCTACCCGTGGGAGCTGCAGGTGGTGGTGGTGGCAGCTTTGATCCGTGGATGCTCCCCGGGGAGGAACTTCTTCCCTCTGGCTCAGTCACAAGGAGCATCCTCTCGCCTGGAGCCGCTTTCCCCACCGCCGCTCTGCGCTGAAATTGCTGGGCTGATTCTGCCAATATTTAACACTCAATTGTTGAAGATCTGGCACGTTTTCCTCAAAGCTGTTTGATTTTATTCTTAGGCAAGGGAGAGATGTGACAAATAAGATGATTTCTGTTACCTAAAGCCAGGCTGTCCCTAGTACTGAGAACAGGCTCCTCACCACAGGCTGTCCCATCCCAAAGAGCAGGAGCCCAGCATCCCTGTGGCATGTCCCCCTGCCAGGGAGCAAGCAGATAAGGAATATTTTTAATATTTTTCCATGTGTTTTTGCCCAGCCTTGTGCAAGAGGGGAAAGCATCCTGGTAGCAATGTTGCTATTTTAATGTCAGAAATATTTGCTGAGAGAAGTGGACAAGCAGCTGTAGAAAACGAGCCATGGAGCCTGTCTGCTCTCTCTGCCCTGCTGCAGGTCCCAGCAGTTGATACTGAGCAGACTGGGATGTGTGGGACCAGGGGCTGGGGACAAGGCTGGGATCTCCTCCACAACCAGCGAGGTCAGGATCTCCTCCCCGAGCTGGAGCAGGGCCCTGTGCCCTGGTTAGAGTCAGCCCCAGCAGAATTTGGGCTGTTTGCTGTTTTCCTGCACATGGGTTTAGTTTGTATTTGGCTTTGCTCTCCCCTGCTGCAGAGCAGGGGTGGGTGGTGGGGCTTTGCCTCCAGCACCCGCCGTGCAGTTATTCCTCAGCACAGTAGGATTATACCCCTGGACACAGCGTTTCCCTTCCCTGCCACGGGGCCAGTTCATGCAGGAACAGAACAAAAGGAATTCAGCAGGCGGGGGCAGGACCAGCCCAGGCCAGTGCAGCAGCAGCAGCAGCTCTTGGGCTCTAATTCTTGCAGGGCAGGAGTCATCCCAGTTGGAAAAGTGAAAATATGGGGAGCTTTTTTGGGTGTTGCTGGAGATGCTGCAGCCATCCAGCCCGTGTGCTGGAGCCAGGCATTCTGCAGCAGAGTTTTCCTGCTTGGGTTCTGTAGGGGGAAGACTTGAACCGTGGTAATGCCAAGGCAGGGGCTGTGCAGGGAGGAGCAGGTCAGAGCGCGGGGCTCTCCGGCCCTGCTGTCAGGCTCCAATATGCCACGTTTCTGCTAAAACATCTCTTCTCCACCAGCACTTTTCAGGGAAGTTTCCTGGTTTAAATAAGCCAGGTTATCGTATCAGTCTTCCTGGAAAAGAGGGCACACCAGAAAAAAGAGATAAAAAAAAGAAAACCTAAGCTATTCCATTATGGTTTGGACTTGCACAGCTAACTGGTTTAATTACTCAGGATAAACTGTACCCTCAAAAGGTGCAGAATAATAAAACCATAAGATGGAAGAGAGAAGCCAGCTAATCCTGCTGCTGGCATGTAGATCCTGACAGCCTTACAAAGGCCTGGGGGAGGGGGGAGCCCTTTAAAATAGTGATTGCCAAGGTTTCCAAGAGCCTCGTTTGTAAAAACAAAAACGAAGCCAAAGAAGAGCACAGCAGATGAAGCCCTGAATTTCAGAGAGGGTCTTTTTTCCCCTCCTTTTTCTCCACTTTTTCTTTCTCCAGCTGAAGTGTTGGCCAAGCTGATGAGTGTGTGGTGGGACACTAGTGGCTGATGCTCTCAGCCAAGGGTTTGGTGGTGATAGAGCAAGAAGAAGGTCTTGCTGAGGGGTGTGCCTCCTGCAGTGGTGGCACCAATGTGATGGAGCAGGACAAGTGTGGAACCTGCTAAAGGAGCAGCAGATAAACAAAAGGATGAGCCCAGTCTTAAACACGGGTCAATGGAAGGGTGAGGTTTAGGTGTTGGTATTCAATGTGGCAGCTTGCAGAGGGATGTCAGAGCAGGTGCATCAGCTCCCACCAGCCTCTGGCCACGTTTGGTGGCTGCGATGTCACCACTGCTGTCCCCACACCCACCTGCTGCTGCGGCAGGCTGGAAGCATCACGATAAAATGTCTCCTTATTCTGTAACTAGGTCTGGTTGTGGTGAACATGTGGGCCTTGAGGACAGGATTGAGGCTTAATGAGGTTTCTAGCATCTGATCTGAGGAATGCACAACTCCAGAAAACATTAAACAAAAGCAAAGTATTTTTATCCTGGTTAATTACAGCGTCGCGGGCCTGATCTGAAGTGGTTAGCAGGACTTGCTGATGCTCTGTGCTTTTCTGCACCAAACCACGTTCTTGTCAGTCAGCTTGCTGCTTAGCAGATGCAGTTAATTTAATTTTGACAAGCACAAGTGAAGTTGCACGAGGTCCGTCCTCCCTCCCCTGCTCCTGCTGCGCCGCTTTGCAGGGGAGAGGGAAGATCTTTATGCAGGAAGTGGCTGGAATGTGGACGCCGGGGTTGGAAGTTATGAAATCCCAAACTGACAAGAGCACACTTCATTAAAAATTCATCTGAAATAGCCGTTATAGAATAGTTGTGGTAATTAGCTGAGAGAATAGTTTTCTCTCCTGGCCTCTGATTCCTGACAGGGAGGAAGGGGGACAAGGAACAGCCCAGAATCCATAAGGAGCAGCTCAGGCACAGCCTGGGCACCATCCCCGACCCTGCCCGGGCAGGACACATTGCAGTCCTGGGAATCATGGCTCACCGTGCTGGATCAGTGCAGCCAGGATAAAGGAACTGGGTCTGCCTGTGGGAATGCCAGGGTGATGCTGGAGGAGCAGGGCCCAGCTGGGATAAAGCAGCCGGTTCTACCTGCAGAAATGACAATGTGATGCTGGAGGAGCAGGGCCCTGGGGTGGCCAGGCTGGCAGCGTGCAGGGGGATGCTGGGGAGCAAGGACTGGTGGGTTTGTAGGACATGGTGAGATGAGGATGGTGTGTATTTAGTAGAGCCCTGTTCCTTGGGCTTGTCCTTGAGTGTTGCAAGCAGCCCCACTGCTGGGTGTGCTGAGGGGAGCTGGGCAGTGCTGGCATCACCCATCCTGGCATGGGGATCTGCCTTTCCCCACCACTGTTCCCCTCAGAGTGGTGCCAGGGGAAGGCAGAGCCCCACGCCAGGGGCACAAAGCCTCTGGCCTTTTTTGGCCTTAATCTTCCAGTCCTGGTTTCCTCACCGTAAAACACAGATGTTTAATTTTAGGCTGGCAGATGTTTCACTCCTGGCTGAGATCTGAAGCGAAGGCAAGATAGGGGTATTTATAAACCAGGAATACTTTTTCCTGTGCTAATTCCAGATTACCTCCCTGTGTAAATAGGTCACAAATCAAATCTCTGCATTCCAGAGCCTTGTTATAAATGTACTATTTGTACAATGTAAACTGTCCTGTCTGGGACTAGATCCTCTGCCCGGCGGTGCGTGCGTGTGTCCCCTGTGGGGCAGGTTTACATGAGCAGGGAGGTGGTGGGGATGCTATTTTTGGGGTAGTCCCACTGCCAATGGAAAATGGGCTAACGGGATAAAAATGTCTGTGAAATGTTGCTGTTTGCAAAGGAACTTCTCACCCTGTCGAGAACAGAGGAGAATCATCCACGTAACTGCATGCACAGTGGCTGCTGGTGGGCAGGTGGAGATGGTTTTTCAGTTGTTGGGGTGGATCAGGACTCCTGACCTGTGATTTAATCTTGGGGCTCTGTAAACATTAATGTTTGGGTGAGCATCCATCACTTGGATCTTTCTGTGTCTCAGAATCCCATTCCTAAACCAGAAATAGTTGTTTCTTATGGGAGTATGTTGGTGTTTATATCCAGTAAATGGTCAAGAGGAGAACCTGGACTGGTGGGAACTGGGGGTTCATGAATGATTTTGAAGCCCTGGTGTTTTGGATTGCCAGGAGCTAAGGAAAGAAGTGAATGCTTCTTGGGTATGTGAACAGCAATCCCCAGCACTGCCAGGCCCAAGGCAGCTTGTTGCCCATCACCTGTGAGGGTCAACCTGTGTGAGCTCAAGCATTTCTGGTCCCAGGCCCCTCAGGCAGGATGTGCAACCACCCTGGCATCAGCAGAAAGGTAATGAACCTCTGAGCCAGAAGGTACATTTTAGGGCCAAAGAGTACACATGTCCCAAGCATCACCAAAGCCTGGATTCATGGCACACCAGTAATTGCCATGATTCCAGCTTTCCTCTGGGCATGATCTGGTGAGTTGGTTTGAAGTTGTCCCTTCAGCCAGAAAACCCAGGTCATTTCCCATTCTGGACCACTTGCTGCCAGCTTGCAGCAGCCGTGGCATTTTAGCTGGAAGCACAGATCTGAGCAAATGAAACAGAGCAGTGTCTGGCTGGCAAGTCTCATCACTTCCTCCGTAATGATTTCCTGCCCCTCTCTGCAGGCTGGTAGGCTCCTTTCTTGGTCGAGAACAAAACTGCCTCAAACAATCCTTCACATTGTTTGCTCTTTCATTCAAAGGGAAGGAGCCACTGCCCGCCCAAGATACAAATTAATTAGAAGCAAATACTCTCCTGTTCTCCCGAGCATAAAGGCCCAACAGACTGGCTTTCTTTGCAAACATGGGACCTGAGTGTCTCTTGTGTCCCCTGTCTTTACATAACTGATTGCTATCTGCTGCATTCAGGTGGCCCTGAAAGGCCTAAATCGTCCCTCCCCTTTGTGTAGTATCCTTGAAAAACTGATTCATACCCATGTTTAATAAGAGGTTTATAGACAGTGAGCCAGTGGGGCAGATGTAACTGCAACAGAGTGGTGGATTGAGTTACTTTTGGTCTTTTTAGCCTGCATTTTAGGTTGGTTTATGAAGTATTTGGTTTCACGGGAAGAAACATAAACTGCTCGATGGCTCCATGTGTAGGAAGTGAAATATCTTCAAAAGCAAAGACTTTTTTCAAGGCAGGATTGTCACCAGCCAGTGTGGCAGCTTTGTCTTCCTGAAAAGCTGCTTTTTCTTTCAGGAAACAGATTTTACACCAAATCCTTGGAAATTTCTCCAGGAAGGTGACATGAACACAGTGCTTGTGCTGATCTTCCTCTTGTCTGCTTCATTAGTGGTGCCTTAGAATCTCATTGGTCCAAAAGTTGTTTTTGATTGAGTTTTTGCTTATGGGCAGTGATGGAGGAAGTAGAGTTGTCCTTGTCTGCTGTAGCTGTTCACCACTTGGGTGCTGTAGATGTTTCATTTCTTCAGTGACTGCAGTCTTGACCCAGCAGGAGGACATGGCTGGTGGGCATTCAGAGCTGAGTTCACTTCCCATTGCTGCAGTATTGGGTCACAAGCTGCAGGGACCTTCCCCTGCATTGAACTCTGTCTCATTTAGGGTATTGATTACAACGGCTTCCCTGGAGACCTGCAGCCTTTAGGCCACTTAAAAAATAGCTGGAGGCCTCTAAGAAACTCCCTGAGATCCATGCCAGTCTGCCCAGCTTCCCTTCAGCAGCTTGACATCTGCTGGTTTGCAGGAGGTGATGGACATCATGACCTGAGTCTGTAGTTAGAGGTAAAAATTAAACATGAAAAATGCAGATGGATGCAGCCTGGCTGGAGCATTGAGCTGGTGAGGTGGTGTCCTCCCTACCTGCTGCTTCCTCTCCCCTGCAGATTGGCATTTATTTTGCAGAGGTCCTCGTGCTGCAGCCTGCCTTGCTGAGCATGCCTGCTGGAGCCAGAGGCCTGTGAAGGACAGCAGAGCTCCTGGGTGTTGGCTCCCCCGTACCTGCTGCCCGTCTGCTTTTGGTTTGTTTAAGCTGGAAACAAATACTGTTATTTAATGGGATGTACCCTGCTCATCACTGGTTGAAAGCATTTTAAGTAGAGCAGGTCTTTGAGATGCTCCCTCTGCACAGGCAGAAGATGTCTGCCCTCTTCAAGGGGAGGGTGCCTGGATGCTTGGGTGTGCTATAAAACAGGGAAATATTGAGAGTTGTTGAAAATCCTGTGTCTCCTTGGGGCAGCACCACAAAGCCCTGCCACTCTGCATAGACAACCGGGCCGGGATGGCAAGAGGAGTCAGTTTAAAGCCATCAGGTGAATCGTTCTGCTGCTCTTTGGTCCTTCACCACTGAAGGCCACGCTGCTCTGCCCTGATGTGACTCCAAGAGCAGGGGGTGTCCTCTGGGTATCCCAACTCTTTTGGGAGCAGTGAGGTGAGGGTGGGGACGTTCCATCCCGCAGCAGGATGCATGTCCTAGTTAGAACAGTGCTCCCTTTGTACAGCCCTGTGGTTACTGCAGCAACAAGTCTGCAAAACTTGTTATTTTATCTAGAGAGAGGAAAAGTGGCCCCCAGAATGCCAAAATAATGGCAGGAAAAGACACCTCTGGAGCAGGAGGCATTTGGAGTTCAGGAACTCTGAACTGTCGGGGTGGGTTTTTTTCTTCTCTCTGTATCCACAGCTACTGAAGAGTGGAGCTGGGGTTGGTTCTGTGTGTGGCACTTGCCACCTTATCAAACATTTTTGGGGGAGAGGTGGATCAGTGTAGAGCTGGGCTGCCATTCAGGATTTTTCCCTGCTCCCACCACGTCCCAGCGCAGCTGGAGCTGATGTACACTGTGTCAGCTCTCTTTTGCTGCCAGAAATTGTCATTTTAAGCAAGCCTGTGGGCTCACCCTGTAAATGTGCTTTAGAAAGCAAATCCATTCTATGCCCACGAGCCCCAGGCTTGGGCAGTGCTGGGGGTTCTGCTCAGCATGTCTGGATTTTGGATATAAATGGTTGGTGATGGGCAGTGGTGGGCTCTGGGGTGGGATGCTGGGACAGGTCACAGCTGAGTCCTGGCCAAGCCCAGTCCTGTGGTTTTGAAGCCATGGTTTAACAACATTTTTTAGTTTGTTGGCTCAGATCTCTCTTGTTATGGAGAGGAAACGTTTGCCTGCAAAGGCAGAGTAGGAGAAGGCACTTTGGGAGGTGAGTTGGAGCTCAGAGGAGGTGGCTGGTGGTGCCATCCTCAGGGGAGGCTCTGGTGACTTTTGTTGGTGCAGGGGAGATCTGCAGAGTCTTACTTCTAACTTGCACAGGTAAAAAACATCAAGAGAAATAGCTGTGGTACTGATGCAGGTATTTATCCACTTGGGAAATTTATTGCCTGTTTTAGAGCCCCCTGGTGAAGTAACCTGCTGTTCTTCTGGGTGTGTCTGGGGGAAGCCAGCTCCATATCCTGCACCCCCAGCACAGTGCCAGCTGTGCAGAGTTGCCCATTTTCATAAATTATTAACTTAGGAAAAGTTAAAGGATAATTAGATTCCAAGAATCCCTGTTGCAGGACCCAGACACACATATGAGGTGGCTGCAGTCGATGATGGGGGAGACAGGGAGACCTTTCCTTGCTGTCAGGTGACGTCTGCCCCGCGGCCGATAGCCCTGGCGAGTGGCTGTGCGGCTGGAGGGGGGAATATTTCCAAGAGCTACCTGAAAAAGTAAAAAATTGACCTTCTGTTAATGTTCTGCCTGCATAATAAGCTGTTTTGATGGTTTTCCCTTTTAATTTTAAGTTGCTCAAGAGAAGCCAGAGCAGATCCCCCTGGAGAACCGCTCCTGTGTCCTCATACGACGGGATCTCGTTGCTCTCCCAGCCAGTCTTATCAGTCAGATCGGGTACCGCTGCCACCCAAAGCTCTACTCAGAGGGAGATCCTGGAGAAAAACTTGAGCTTGTTGCAGGTAACGTGGAGATCACTTTGCTTTGCTTGGTAATGCCCGGAGATCACTCATCTTTTCCTTCTGGAAATGTATGTTTCATCTTGCTTGCACCCTTGCTGGAGTCGTGCCTCTTGTGTGCCCTTGTGTGCCCTTGCTGTGTCTTTCTGGATTGTTCATCACCAATCATCTGTTAAAAAGTTCCAGGGTTCCTTTAATATGCTGGTAGAAAAATGTGTCCTTAACAGGATTTATACAATTGAATTAATTTAGCATTTTAATTGATTTCTCCAGCTGATGTTCTTCCTGGCTGGTGTGGGCTGCGTCGCCATTGTACTTTGATTTAGATGCACAGACCTAAAAAAAAACCAAACAAACCAAAAACCCCCATCGTGTGATGAGATTTACAAAGCAATGAAGATAAAATTTGTGTCAACAAGAAAGCTTTGAAAAAACCTGTGCAAGTTTTTTAAATATTGGGGTGTTAGCAAATTGAGGTGCTGTGGAGTGAAGGAGAAGGAACTGGGTTTGGTCCTTTCATTGCTCTCTATTTTCAGGTTTTTTTATCAGGAGCTTTTTTTCAGGTAGTTATCAGGAGAATTCACTAAGGATTTATGGCCAGCTTGAGGAGGAAGATGATTCTGATTGGCTTTTGATGGACAAAACTTGGAACTGCAATGGCTATGCCAGCCACCAGCCCAGGGACCCCAGAAAATGGGTGTTCAGTTGGGGTGTCCAGATTCCAATTTAAAGAATTATATTCAGTTTTTATAGGTTATCCCCAGCTTCACTTTACTGCCATGGTCCTCTCAGCTTGTCGGGAAGCTTTTCCCCTTGGCTGTAACAATGTTGAGGTGAAGGGGTCTTGGCAGGACAGCCCATACCCAGCGCCCGGGCAGGGGGGGTTTATTATCACCTCCAAAGCCCTTTGTACAGAAGGGATGTGTGGCAGGGTGGTCAGGCCAGATCACTTGGCCTTTTTGGTCCTTTGTCTCTTGGTGAGCAGTGTGGTTTTATTTTCAGCCTATCAAAGGAATCTGGGTTTCAGAGGGTGCCCAGGGAGGTTTCCATCTGATGGAGAACAGACTGTGATGGGAGGCAGCAGCAGGGCGTGCACGCAGCTACAACCACAAGTATTTATTTTGTATCTGGAATATTCATTTTGTGCCCATTTACATTTTATGTGAGACTTCTTAAAACCATCAAGTGGTGCAGGTTATTTTCACAGTCAGAGCTGCAAACTGGCTGGCGGCAGCTCTGCTTGATTTACATTTTTCAATCTGGAAAAAAAGGAGATTAATATCTCTAACTAATAGTGGCTGCCATTATTTGTTATTTATTAAAGCAGAGTTACTCTCAGTAGTGTCTGGTGTTGCCTCTGACTTACCTCCCAAAACACTGCTGCTGAAGGAGGGCTCTGCAGCTCATCACTGTCCCAGACCTGAGGAGGGGTCTTGACCCCAGAGCAGGCAGGAGGATCCTGCAGTGAAAGTTCTCCTCATCTCTCCAGTCTGGGTGTTCTCCTTTTTGCCTCTGGTTTTTCATGCCATGATTGATTCTGCAAACTTCAGTTTCAACAAACCCCACAGGCACTGTCATACATCTGAGGGCAGATGCTGTGCCAGGAGCAGGATGGCTCCAGGCTGCAGGAGGTGGGATGGCTCCAGGCTGCAGGAGATGGGATGGCTCCAGGCTGCGCAGATGCTGTGCCAGGAGCAGGATGGCTCCAGGCTGCAGGAGGTGGGATGGCTCCAGGCTGCAGGAGGGGTGGCCTGGGCTGCTCTGCAGCTCTGTCCTCCTCCGGAAGGGCAGACACTGCCATCTGAAGACTTTCCTGGAAATCCAGGAAGTAATTTTATTTCTCCCATAGGTGTTTTTATATCTTGATAACAGAGCATGTTCTGGATCCAGATATGACCCATTATTTTATCTTAATTAAAAGCCAATACCAGAATCCTCTCGTACAACAGTCACTTGAGAACTGGGCTGACCTGCCCTGCCAGGATGGGAGCAGTTGGTTCTGCTGACCTGTGTGCACAGTCCAGGTGTGGGACAGGAAACCTTTTCCTTCCATCCCTAAAGATTGAGTGTTTCAGTCAGCAGCTCCAGTACATTAAAAGGAAAATTCCCTGCTCCCCAGAAGAATGAAGAAGTGATGGGCTGGGGCTTTTGGGAACAGATCTGTAGTGTAACCCAGTACCTGTCCTGTCCTAGACAGGGCTTTTCCTTTCTAGTTATGTGTTCTACAGTCTTCACTTGAAAAAAGGCCAAATGGTTTGAGGTTTTCTTCCTTCAGAAAGAATAAATAATCTGATCTGTTCATATGAAGTCACAGAATAAAGCCTGGCCCTGTGGGTCTTTGCAAGGGGGGGGAGGGAAGTCTTTTCATTTGATTTTCATAGACTTCCTTTCTGTACAGATAAAATTAGGAATTATTATTACCTGGGGCTTGCCAAGACCCCAAGGGACTGTGATAACAATCCCTGCTGGGCTTCTACAAAACTCCTGCCCTCCTTGCTGGGCTTCTGCAGCAGCACGTGAAGAACAGTCTCCCGGTGTCAGCACCGACCGGCACAGGGGGAGCAGTTGTTGGTGCTGCCAGTGAGATGAGGGTTTAATTCTGAATTAATCTAATTCTCCCTCTCAACCCTTCCAGGCTCAGGTGTTTACATCACCCGGGGGCAGCTGATGAATTGCCACTTATGTGCCGGTGTCAAACACAAGGTCCTTCTGAGACGTCTCCTGGCCACCTTCTTTGATCGGTATGTGCTCTCTGTGCTCTCCCGAGGGACACAGTGTCTTTGTGGGGCTCTAACCAGGCTCACAGACAAGTGCTGTGAGCTCTTCATCCCCTGCACACGCTGCTCTGCCTCCCCTGCTTTGTCTCAATGATACTCGTCCCTTGAGTGCCAGGTTTTCCAGTTCCTTGCCTTCCCCTTGTGTGATGTGGTGGTCCCTGCGCAAGGAGCTGCGGGGGAGGCCGTGGCTCTCCCCTGGGTCCCCCTGGTAAGGCTCTTCCTCTGCCTTTCTTGTAGGAACACACTTGCCAACAGCTGCGGAACTGGAATCCGGTCCTCCACGAGTGATCCCAGCAGGAAGCCCCTGGACAGCAGGGTTCTTAATGCAGTCAAATGTAAGGAGAGAGCTTTGCTGCTGCTGTGCTGGGACAGCGTGACGAGGGCACAGCTGAAACCCAAGCAGGGAAGGTCATCCCTGCTGCATAACATGGGAACTCTGTGTGGTGAAATGAGGTTGTAGGAAAACTAATTTATTTTTATTTTGCATCATTTTTTGGGAGGCTGAAGGGAAGATTATTTTTTTTTTATTGTTTGGCAGGATCTTAATATAAAACATTATTGCAACTAGGCTGATTTGCTAGATTTTAAAGCACTAGGTTTGTAGTTTATTCTTTTATTGGTAGGTGCTCTAAGAAGGAAATTTAAAAAGTTGGCTTTGGCAACATTCAGAACTTGATACCACTGAAAGAGGCCATCTCCATGTGTGTTTTTTGGATTCATCCAAGGGCAGGGCTTGGCCAAATCCCTGGTTTCCAGGAGTAGAGACTGTCTGTGGGCTTTGTGGTGTTGGTCTGCACAGTGAATGTGTGCAGGGAACCCACCGGCTGCTGCAGCCCTGGGAGTGTGGTGGGATCTCTCACCCTTTCTGGCAGCCTTTCTATGAGGCTCTCAGTCAATTTTTTGGCTCTGGCTGTCACCCTTGCACACAAGAATTTTACTATGGGACAAAAGGTGCTGCTGGGGAGTGAGGACTTAGGGGGGTAGGAGACCCTGATGGGCTGATGCAGCGAAGCCCATGTGCCCTGGGCTTGGTCTGCAGTGGAAAGCAGAATGTCCTCTCAGCCTCACTGGGTAGTAAATCTTTATGTGAATGTTATTGTGCTGGAAAATGAAAATCTAAGCAATTTTTTTTTTATTTTTTATTTTTAAGATTTAGAAGGTTAATCTTTCCTCTCCCTATTTGTCGTGGTGCTGCTGAACACAGCCACCCTCTGAGGTCTGTAGCCCGTGGAGGAAAGGGATAAGGTGGCAGATGTTCAGCACATAAAGGCAGAATCATCCAAGTGTGCTGTTGGTGCTTGCCCATAAGGTGGTGTGTGATGCTCTCCTGAGCCAGCCTCCCTGGCAGCAGCTTCACCCTGCAGAGCTCTGGGCCTGGACCTTCAGCCTCAGTCCTTGCTAAGGCTTGCAGAGGGTTTCAGAGGTTGGAATGGCATCCCTGTCCAGTTCCTTCCTCCAGATGATCCTCAGCTGTGTGTGTGTCTCTGTCTTTGCAGTGTATTGCCAGAATTTTGCCCCGAGCTTTAAGGAGAGCGAGATGAACGTCATAGCAGCCGACATGTGCACCAACGCCCGCCGCGTCCGCAAGCGCTGGCTGCCCAAGATCAAGTCCATGCTGCCCGAGGGGATGGAGATGTACCGCACGGTCATGGGCTCCACCACAAACAGTGTCCCCCTGGATCCTGAATTCCAGCCCAACACTGCTCAGGTCTTTGAGCAGCGAATCTATGCAGAAAGGAGGAGCGATTCGGGAACTATCGTAGCCTTGAGAACTAACACGGTGAACGTGGAGCTGAGCAACGGGTCCAGCCAGTCCTTCGAGCAGGGCGAGGACGCCGAGGGCGCCGGCTCCGTGATCCAGGAGGCAGCTGCCACGGATGCTCTGGCCTCAGATCCCCAAAGCACTCCACAACCTTTTGAACAAGGCTCGGGCTCCTCCAGCCGGCCCGAAACCCCCGCCCGAAGACAGGATGGTACTTACGGAGGGACTTTATAAAGAGAGCAAACGTTTCGTGACCTATAAGGGATCTGTAATACTAAAGCTGCTTGCATGCGTTACTAATACAAAACAAAAAAAAATGTGATCAAGCCACTTACCTACTGAACTGCTACTGTTGCCTGAAAAAAATGTGATTTTTATTCTGCTTGTATTTAAAATTTATGAAGGAAATAATCGCATTCGTTATACTGTAAACAACTAGGTCTGTGGCGACCTACTTTAAAAAAAAAATTGGGCTCCTTTTTTGATATTCCTGAGGTTAGTCTATAAGATTGTAGCTTTTTTCTCTCTCTTTTTTTTTTCCTTTTTCTTTTTCCTTCTTTTTTTTTTTTTTTTTAATTTCAAGAAGGGGAGGAGAAAAGCTAGCCACCCCCCCAACCACCACCCCCATCACCACCCCATCCCATCACTCAGCTCAGAAGTAAAGCCATCGTTAACCTTGTCCTCTAAAGGAAGTTTTACTGTCACTTAACAGGAAAGCAAAGGTGTGTTAGGGTACAGGTGCTGTGACTGGAGATGTTTGTCTTGAGGAGAGGGGCTCTGGCCAAGTGGGACAGGGTGGGGGAAATTGTTAAAGGCTTCTGGTGCCTGAGGGAGCCCCTTGTCAAGGGTGCTGCTGTGGGGCAGGGTGCTGGGGGCAGGGTGCTGTGGCTCCCAGCTGCTGCTGAGGGCTCAGTGCTGTTGTCTTGGGGAGTTTTATCCAGTTCTGCAGGAGTTGAGGCTCGCACGTGTCGGGAGGACTGCGTGGGATGCAGGCACAGGGCCTGTCTGCTGGAGTGGTTGTTGTCAGGTTGTTGTTTCGTTTTTTTTAATTTTCCCAACACAGCTGGGTTTGGGTTTAGATTCCCTCTCCCTCCCAGCGGCTCCTTCTCCTTGGCTTCTCCTCGCTTGCACCTTCACATCACCCATCTCTTGGGTGAACAGGCTGGAGTCACCCCGCTGCACCCCTCGCCTCGGGCAGGCAGGGAGGGGGACTGAGCCCCGGGGCCACCTCCTGGGGGTGGGAATTGCCCCCTGCAAAAGGGCTTTGCAGCCACTGCTGAGAAGGGAAACTCGTTGTTGGCCAAAGGGTTTGGAGCTGGGAACATTTGGTGTCTGCTCCTGGAGCCCGATGCAGCCACCAGCACGTGGGCTCTGGGCTCTGGCTCTGGAATGATTTAGAGTGTGTTGGATGCAGGAAGGTTTTTAAAAGAAAACCCAAACAACAGCATGAGCTTTGTGTCCTTCTGTGAAGGGGTTTTGGGGAGGAGGAAGCGTTTTACCTCTTGCTCCTCACCCTCCAGACAGGTCCTTACGGGGAGAGCCCCATGTGAGGTATTTGTTGGGGTTGGTGTCCCCAGGCTGTGCTGGAGTTGGTGGCCTTGGGCAGGGGGTTGGCAGGGCCAGGCTGCCCCAGGGGACAGGAGCAGCCACGTGTGGCTTTTTCCTTCTTTTTGTTTTTTAATTCTTATTTTCACTGTGACTGAAGGGCCTGCTTTGATGGTCTTCACAGCTTGTTCTGTACCAAGTTTGGGACTAGGAGCAGGTGCGAGGTGCACGGTCCCCCCTGGAGGCTGCCCTGGCTGGGCTCTTCTTTCCTGCTTTGGTTCCTGAATCCAGACGATGCTTTGCTCAGGGTTTTCTTCCTTCTTTGTATTTCCATTGGGAAAGGGGAGGGAGGGGAGGATAAAACCCAACTTTTGGCCCTTTGTTTTGTTTTCTTCGATACTTGAAGCAGTTTTTTGCATCCTGATAACAAAGCTGCCTGGCCTTTGTCTCTTCCCCTGCTCCTTTCCCTGAGGGGAAGAAAAAGTCACTGCTGGGGAGGTTTCTGCCTCCTGCTTTGCTCTGCTCTTGAATTTGGCAGGGCTTGAGTGCACTGTGGTGCCCTGGACTGGGTGCCCTGATGTGGGGGGTCTGGGGCAGGTGGGGACACACAGGACCTTGCGATGCTCCAGGAAGCAGGACGAGCAGGGCTGAGGGTCCCACTTGCACTTAAGTCAGCAAACAAAAATCAGCTCATCCCCCCGAGCAGCACCATGGGAGGGGGGACAGACCAGAGCAGGGGGGACAGGGAGCTGGCCTTGGGGTGGGCTTGGTCCCCAGCCATCCTGAGGAGATGGAGAGGGCCAGTTCCTTGGCCCTGCGGGTGTCCAGTGTCCCCGTTCCCTGGAGGTGGCTGCTGGGGTCCAGTGCTGGGGCAGCTCAGGCAGGCTGGGGGGTTCCAGTTTGCCTGAAGAACCCCCAGATTGGGTTTGCCAAAAGTTTGAGGCAAGTTGGGAGTGGATCCAGGCGCCGGAGATCTGAGTCCCTTCCTTGTGTGTCCGTGTGCATATATAGAGAGATATATATATTTTAAATACACTGCAAAGGATTCCTCCTCCTTCCTTGTGTGTCCGTGTGCATATATAGAGAGATATATATATTTTAAAGATACTGCAAAGGATTCCTCCTCCTTTTTGGCACTTGCTAGGGTCTGGGGAGCAGCCGAGCCCCCCCACAGGGTTCTCAATTGGCTTTAGGGATTAATCCTGGACCAAACCTGTGCCCAGAGCAACGGCCCGGCCGGCGGGGCCACCGGGGCAGCAGCAGAAGTACTTGAATGGCTTAGGACAGAGAGTCTGAAGAGAGTCAAGTTGCACAGTGAAAATATATATATATTTTTATACCTAGCACAACTTCCTGTATATTTTTGGGGTTTGTTTATTATTTTTTTTTCCCTTCCTTTTTTTTTTTTTTTTTTTTCAGTTTGGGTTTGTTTGTTTTATTAGTTATTATTACTAGGAAGGCAAACTTCTAAAATGTGAAGGGCGTTGGGTTTTTTGTTTTGGTTTTGTTTTTTTTCCTTATCTGGTAGATGAGGGCAAGCATTTTGCACTAATGTTTCCTGTGTGTGGAGGATTAATGATAATGTTTGAAGCTGTTCTATGGCAATGATTGTATCCTTCCAAAAAAACAAAAAACACACAAAAATGACAAAAAAAAGAGAAGTAACCCCTTTCAAATACTGAATGTAAGGTGAGAACAGAGCAGTCCATCGATTGTATGCGGCTTTCCTGAGTGCCTTAGAATTTTTTGATCATTTTTTTTCCAAGGAAACCAGATTAAGACGATCAGATCATAACCAACTCCTTCCTCCTCTTTGTTTACGACGCTGTTTTAAATTATAGAATTTGGGGCTGCTTTATAATGTGAATAGGAAAACTGCATTCATCTAGGTCTGGTAGTGTAAAATCAGAGCATCAGTATTTATGGTATGTCTGCACCTTTATTCTTAATGCTTGACTATTAGCAATATTACATGTATGTTATATATCTAAAGTTATACCAAGCACCTTTAAGGAGAACAGAGCGTGAGCATCCAACTTACCTGCAGCTGCCATAGAGTGTAGAGCCAGCCCCTCTCCTCCTTAGCACCACTTAACACCACCCCCGAGCTGCTGCTTTCTGGAAGGGTGCATGGACCTTCCACGGTGGTCCCACACCTCGGTGTCCCGGGGGTCCCAGCCTCCCCCTGTCCCATGGGATGCTGACCTGGTGGCTCCGGAGCAGGCAAGGAAGGGGCTGGGGAGGAGCTGGGAGTGGGTCCTTGTGCCACCTCCGGGGGTTGGTTCTTCCAAGCCTGGTTTCACCCTGGGAACGGGACCCCGGGAGGTGCAGGGGGGTGGGGGACACGCAGGGTCCCCTCCTCCCGCCAGCCCACCCCACCCACAACTGGAATTGCCCCTCTCTCCCCCAGCAATGGGGGGCACCCCAGCCCCCCAACCCCGGGCCCTTTTTATTCTTGTTTTGTTGTGTTATTTTTTTCCCCAGGGGTTTTGCTCCCATC